ATGTAAAAACTCTTAGAATTGGAGATTCTCCTAGCAGGGTTGTGTTCCGTCGTCATTTCTGGTGGGCAAGATAGGGCGACGACTTCAAGTCAACTGACTCAATCTAATTAATTAAAGTCATTTATATGTTTATCTAATCTAGACACTATTAGATGATAATCCATGTACTGTAAAATAGCCAAGAGGGGTTTTTATGTCTTTTCCTCACATGAGCGGTTATAACGATCTTCCTCTTCATCTCTGTATATAAGCCATTGCAGCTGTAAGGTTCCAGATTTTGAGATCAGAATAATACACTCATATTTTTCCTCCTTTCATCTTCGTTGCACATGTGAAGCCAACTGACATGGTATCAGAGCACCGGCGCAACTACGCCGCCGCTGTCATCGGCACCGGCACCGGCGACGCAAGTCACGTCGCTATGCCAGTCAATCAACCTCCGTCTTCCGAGAACGTTCCACAGGGGAACATAGCCTCTCAAACTCAAAGGAACTTCAATACAGGGGATTTAGAGGATCCTCTTTTCCTGAGCGCTACTGACAGTCCATCGATGATCCTTGTGAGTCCACCATTAACCGGGAGCTTGAATTATGGCACATGGAGCTTGTCGATGCAGATCGCGCTGGAAGTAAAGAATAAGTGGACTCTGCTGGACGGAAGCACTACTCCACCAAGCAGAGAGCATCAACATTACGCGGCATGGAGACGATGCAACTTTATGATCTGCTCCTGGATCTTCAAGACATTGCATCCATCCATAGTGCAAAGCGTGATGCACTTCGACAATGCCAGAGACATTTGGGAGGATTTGAGGAAGCGTTTCTCACAGAGAGATGCGCAACAGATTTCAAGCTTACAAAGTGAGATCCATAGCCTGAAGCAAGGAGTTCTCTCCGTCAATGAATATTACACTAAAAGCAGAACGCTGTGGGAGCAGATGAACAGTCTACGACCAATTCCGCTCTGCAAGTGCATTCCAAAGTGCTCCTGTGATCTCGTCGAGGTCATTAGAAGTGAAAGAGAAATTGATCAGGTAATTCTCTTTTTACAAGGCTTGAATGAAGAATTTGACAGTTTGAAATCAAGTGTGATTGTATTAGATCCCTTGCCGGGAGTATATAAAGTATTTGTTATGGCCGAAAAATTAGAAAGACATATCAATCTGAGAAACTTGAATCTGAGAAGCATGGACATAAATCAGTCCAATGCGGTTCTAAACAGCTTGAATGAGGAAACAGTGGCTGCTGCATCCTTTAATGGCAGAAAGAACACTGGCAATATAAAGGCCAAATGCACATATTGTGGCATGTCTAGACATACAATAGATAGATGCTATAAGAAGCATGGATTCCCTCCTGGATGGATACAAGGTTATAAATCCAAGAGCAAACAGCAAGTTACAGCAACAGCTACGAGTGGTGTAGATCTGGGAGTAACCTCTGAGCAGCTACAGAAATTCATCTCCATTTTGCAGAACCAATCTGTCCAGTCATCCGGATCATCTAGCTCGAACCTAGCTGCTGCAGTTGCTCTAACTCCCAAGTTTGATGAGGCATACACAGATAATGAAGGCAAGTTCTCTGTAAATTCTCTTTCATTAAACACTTCTACTTGGATCCTTGACTCGGGAGCCACAAATCACATCGTGTGCTCCCTTGATTGTCTTACCAATTATCATGTGGTGAATGATGTTGAAGTGAACCTTCCTACTGGCCAGTGTATTACAGTTGAGCACATAGGGAATGTACAGCTCAGTAGCAGTCTATGCTTAAAGGAAGCATTACATATCCCATCCTTCAAGTTTAACATCATTTCTGTGAGCAAATTGATTCAAGATACTAGTTATAGACTAACTTTCATGTCCAAGCAGTGTGTGATCCAGGGGATGCATGGGCAGATAGTTGGTTTAGCTAAAGAAGAAAGAGGCCTATACATAATGAAGGAAGCAAATTTACAGAATAAGCACTATGTTATGCAGTGCACTAGCCCGGAAGTTTGGCATCAAAGGCTGGGGCATTTCCCTATCAATAAGCTCCATTTACTTTGTGATATTGATGTTTCAAAATCTAGAAATGCAACATGTGATGTGTGCCATCTAGCTAAACACAAATGTTCTCCTTTTCCTTTAAGCACTACTACTTCAAAAGCTTGTTTTGATTTGATCCATATGGATATATGGGGACCTTTCTCAGTTTGTTCTTTGAAAGGTGAATATTATTTCCTTACTATAGTTGATGATTACTCCAGGTTTACGTGGATTCATTTGATGAAAACTAAGGCTGAAACTAGACACTTTGTGAAGAGGTTTCATGCGTATGTATTCACTCAGTTTGGAAAATTGATTAAAACTATACGGAGTGATAATGGAGTTGAGTTTAGAATGGACAATTTTTTCTTGGAAAATGGCATAGTCCATCAACGATCATGTGTTAACACCCCTCAACAAAATGCTGTAGTTGAGCGTAAGCATCAACATATCCTTAATGTCGCTAGGTCTCTTCGGTTTCAAGCCAATCTCCCTTTGGATTTTTGGGGCCATTGTGTGATGCATGCGGTTTTATTAATAAACAGACTTCCATCTCCAGTGCTTAACCTCTCAACTCCATATCAGAAACTTCATGGCAGTATTCCAGACATTAGCAACTTGAGAGTGTTTGGTTGCTTGTGCTATGCTTCTACAAATCCTAAGGCAACACATAAGATGGATCCAAGGGGGAAGAAGTGCATTTTCATTGGCATACCAGCTGGGGTTAAAGGATACTTGCTATATGATTTAAAAGAGGGTTCTGTTGTGGTGTCTAGGGATGTTGTTTTTTATGAGTCCCACTTTCTAATATTCCTATTTCTATAGAATTGGACTCACATGTTCAACATACATATGATTCTGAACAGATGCAGCATAATCATACACTGGGTGACACCAGCTCTTTTCAGTCACAAGAAACTCCTTGCAGTGAGGGTCAGTTACATCAAGAGCACTCAGCACAGTCTTTTGGATCCCCTGCTTTGCCTCCTGACTCAGTTCAGTCCACAAGAGAACCAAGCCCCATTGAGGTGCAGCCACGATGTTCAGATAGAAATCGTCGTGTCCCGAGCAAGCTCCGGGATTATTATTGTGAGGCAGCCACAACACAGAGCACTTTTCCTCACAGACTGTCAGAGGTAATATCCTACACTCACCTCTCCTTGCCTCATAAGAATTTTTCCATGGCAGTCACATCCATCAAAGAACCAAGGACATACAGTCAGGCAGTACATGATGCTTGTTGGAGAGATGCCATGGCGGCTGAAATTAAGGCACTCCAGGATAACCATACGTGGGCTTTGGTTGATCTACCACCCGGGAAGACACCGATTGGGTGTAAATGGGTATATAAGGTGAAATTCAAAGCGGATGGCTCGGTGGAACGCTATAAAGACAGGCTAGTAGCCAAGGGCTACACACAACAATTGGGAATTGACTATGTCGAAACTTTCTCTCTAGTAGCAAGGATCACCACCATACGCACCTTCTTAGCTGTAGCTGCTTCTCGGGCTTGGCATGTTCATCAGCTAGACATCAACAACGCCTTCCTCCATGGGGATTTATCTGAGGAAGTGTACATGGTGCTACCACCCGGCTTTCAAGGGGAGAAACCGGGGCAGGTTTGCAAGCTGCTAAGGTCGCTTTATGGCCTCAAACAAGCCAGCCGGCGGTGGAACGCAAAGTTGAGTGCCGCGCTGATTCACGAAGGATTTGAGCAGTCCAAGTTTGATCCTTCTCTGTTTATCAAAGGTCATGATGCATCGTTCATAGCCATCCTTGTCTATGTCGACGACATCCTTGTAACAAGCCCCAGTTTACTTCTCATCCAGGATCTCAAACTATTCCTTGACAACACTTTTAGAATCAAAGACTTGGGCACCTTAGGGTACTTTCTTGGCATAGAAGCTCACATGAAGGAGGATGGTTTGAATCTATGCCAAAGAAAGTATGCTCTGGAAATTATAGAAGAGGCTGGTTTTCTCAATTGTAAACCAGTTGACACTCCAATAGTTCCTGGACATCGGTTAACTAAAGATGGTGGTACTCCTCTTAATGATGCATCCAGTTACAGGCGTCTTGTTGGCCGTCTGTTGTACTTAACGGCCACAAGGCCGGATATTGCGTATGCTACACAACAATTAAGTCAGTTTGTAGACTCCCCAACATCAGAACACATGACTGCAGCTCACAGAGTTCTTCGTTACATCAAAAAGGCTCCCGGGCAAGGCCTGCAATATCCACGAAGCAATCATATGCAGTTAAATGTTTTTGCAGACTCCGATTGGGCATCTTGTCCAGAAACCCGAAGGTCGATCACAGGCTTTTGTATATTTTTAGGCTCTGCCCTCATCTCTTGGAGATCCAAGAAGCAAGGCACTGTCTCTCGCTCTTCATCCGAAGCGGAATATCGCGCACTAGCTGCCACTGTCTGTGAGGTCCAATGGATCACCTCTTTACTTAATGATTTGCAGGTCAATCTGGATAAGCCTGCAGCCACCTTCTGTGATAGCAAATCAGCCATCGCTATTGCTGAGAATCACGTGTTTCATGAACGAACAAAGCACTTGGATATCGACTGTCACATTGTCCGTGAAAAGCTCAATCAAGGTCTCATTAAACTGTTATCTGTCTCATCCTCTACGCAAGTGGCAGATGGTTTTACCAAGGCTCTCTCATCTTCCCTATTTCAGTCATTCAAGTCTAAACTGGGCATTAAGGATCTTCATGCTCCAGTTTATGGGGGGTATTAGATGATAATCCATGTACTGTAAAATAGCCAAGAGGGGTTTTTATGTCTTTTCCTCACATGAGCAGTTATAACGATCTTCCTCTTCATCTCGGTATATAAGCCATTGCAGCTGTAAGGTTCCAGATTTTGAGATCAGAATAATACACTCATATTTTTCCTCCTTTCATCTTCGTTGCACATGTGAAGCCAACTGACAGACACAACACGAACCACTGAAACTTAACCATGATCTTCCTCCTTCTCCACCTGCTCATCACAACTACCGGTTCCGGTGGATCGCCGGCTTACACTCCCCCCGACCATATCCTTCATAACTGCGGAGGAGCATCGGAGCAGGATTCCAATGGCCTCAACTGGACATCTGACGCCTACTACCCTGAATGCCTTCCCCCAAATGAGCCAGATAAATCAGTAACTTTCAAGGCTAAGGCTAAGGCTGCAGCAGCAGGTAGCGCATCTGTCCTCGATGTCCCATACCGCTCCGTCCATATCTTCATAAACCAGTGCACTCGCTCTTACACTGTTTCTCCTGGCCCAAAGTTCATCCGCCTCCATTTTAGCCCTACCATCCATTACTTTGTTCACGGCTTCAGTCGGTTCATCGGCTGAGTACTTCCTGACAAGGCGATTAACGACGAAATCCGACGTGTTTGCGTTCGGAGTGGTGCTGTTCGAAGTGCTCTCCGGTCGGCCGGCGCTGGACATGAGACTCGTGGTGGAGCAGCACAGCCTAGCTACTTGGGCGGTAGAGTGCATCAGAAAAGGAGAAATTGATAAAATGTTTGAGCGGTGTTTGGTGGGGCAAATGTCTCCGGCGTGCTGGAAGGTATTCGTGGGAATCGCAGGAAGATGCTTGCTTAGAGAACCACGCCAACGGCCTCACATGGCGGATGTAGTCAAGAATCTTGAATTAGCACTGGCCTTGCAACAACGGGCGGCGCGGAATTAGCATTGAATGTAAGCATTATTGGCATTGAATCAAAGTGGAAAACTTTATGTATAATCTTAGTTAGATTGTACATATTTATATGCTCAACATTTTTTTGAATGCTACTAAGTCTATTATATTGTAGTATATTATTATCAACTAGATACTTTAGAAGACGGTGACGAAGCGCATAAATTGATAAGGAAACAATATCAAACATTTTATTCTAAAAGTTCAATAAATTTAAGAACCGTAGGAATTAAACTAGAACGCAAACTAATTCACGCAATGATCTTCAAATCTTCTTAAATGCATCACTGATCCGGGGCTTAACACGTTCGATCACGAGGATCTTTGCACTCTCTTGGCTTGCTGGGATTACCCGGCGGAAGGCAGCTCTGATATCTGTAGGCATTACAAAATGCTCCATTATCCTTTACCACGGGATAGACAATATGGCCCGCTGTCGGGTCATTATTAGTAGAATCATAACCCCGAATGAGCAAAAAAAATGTGGGGAATTCCAAAATGTCGCTGCATGGAAAGTGGACACCAAGGAAGGAAAATCGTGTTTGTGGAGTGCATTTCTCTCCCATAGAGAGTCGCTATGCCCCTTAGCGATTTAAGCTTCAGTATTTTATTTGCTTTTACATATGTACTCTGTATGTTGTTTTCGTATTTTGCTTTTACATATGTACTGTGTATGTTGTTTTCTTATTCCAATGATGGATTCCAATGTAATATATTATATTATTTCAATTTATCCGTGTGGAACTTTTATGACTTTGTTTTAGCAATGTTGTATTCCAATTAAATATAATATATTATTCCTATTTATTCGTGTCAGACTTTTAGAACATTTTTTTGTAGCAAAGTCCTATTCGGACTGAGTTGTAACACTTATTTTGTCATTTTGATGTCAATGTTGGTTTGAATTGTATGAACTTGATAGCTGTGTGTTATCGTCTTTCTATGTTTTGAACTCTTTAAATATGTAAACAGGGGATTGCTCTATGTTAATATTGAAGTTGTTAGAAATATATAGTTAATAAAATAGTAGGGAAAAGATACAATTCACAACAAAATAAGGCACTTACCAATCCCTTCACACATCTTAAAAAGTTGGAGGTTTAAAATGTTTAATATTTTTAGTCAATAAGCTAGTAGGCCTAGAAAGTCTCTTTCACATATAGACACACGGGAATCATTAGTCTTTTTTTTTTTTTTTTTTTTTTTTTTTTTTGATGCTGATAATATAGTTAGTAAAATGGAACTCATATACCAGACAAGCTTTACTGGAGTCTGTATGATTATATACCATGTCAAATACAAATAAAGAATTCTGTAGGGTAATGAAGAAAGCACAAAGCAAGCATAAATATAACAAGGGTTGAATGTGATTTCACCCGAAATCAAATCATTAGTCTTTTTGAAATTATAGTATTGCAGTCTACCTAAAGATGCATTGTGGCAACAAACATTCTAATGCATTACAACATTCTACCAACATATTTCATAAGCATTATTCAAAAAAATCACAGATTTTATAAGCATTATTGCAAAAGCATTGTTCAAATAAACAACAGATTTCAGAAAAATTAGATTTATAAAAAATAAAAAAAAAAATCAAGCTTTCACCATTAATGGAGAAACTAACCTTAAGATGTTATTCAAGCAAAACCGCCGGAATCCACTCCCACAGCCGTCTCCTACCGTCGTCCCTTGCCGGAAACCGTCAGCCTCTGCCGCTGTCGCTCGCCGGAAAACGCAAGCCGGAGCAGCTTACAACCGTTGCGCACCCCGCGCCCACCACTGCCCGAACAGATTTCAAGCACAGTTGGTAACTATTTTTGGGACCACAACTCTTTTGGGACCACAACTCTTATTTTTTGCTATTTTAAAAGAATTGTGCTGGGACCATAGATGAATTTTATTGAAGGTAAAAAAATGGACAAGAAAGAGGAAGGAGATAAAAAATGTAGAAGAAAGGAGGAGATGAATAGATTGGAGTCAAACTAGGATTTTTACAGATTTTGGGAACCGCATAAAGTAATCGTATGAAATTGAGAATGGTAACTTTTTAAAATTGCTATGGGCTAGGACTCCACAAACACGGTTTTCCCTTCTCCGTATCCCAATCCCATGCATAACTTTTTTCGTATCCAACGCCAAAATTTTGCACTATCGGCAAAAGCACCCTTATTAGTAAGGAGCATTCTGCCGATTCCCCAATCCGTCGAGGATTCTTCGCCGCCGTCCACTTCCGTGTAATCGCCGATGAGAGAAGAAGCGTTGCTAACGATTCGGAGGTTAGCGGCACTCACACCTGCAGATACCACCATATTTGTCATGATTATTACAGAGAATGTGAAGAATACCTGAAGAATGAGACTCCTCTGATATACTTCTCTTCTCATTTTTTTCTTTTTAATTTTTGCTGTTTTCGTTATGTTTTCTCTTCTTCAATTCTTCAATCCTCTCTGATTTATTTAAATATTTTACCAGGATAAGGCTGCAAGTGTGAAGTGTATTGCTGACCACTGAACATGTTTGTATCATTCATCACTAACTTGAGGGGCCTCTTAGGGCAACTGTTTTTGGATTTTCTGGAAGAAGACAATGCCTCGCATGTGTTACAGGTACGGATTGCGAGTACTTACCTGCAAGTTGATTCGATTTTCCCCTATATTTTTATTTTATTACGTCTCTTTCAAGCAATTCACGCTAAGTGGCTGTGTGTTTGTTCTGCCGATACAAATTGTGAGGGAAATTGGAGTTTATCTTCATGGTAAAGTTCGAGTTAGTGACGATTAATGTTTGGGATTTAAAATGCTAAAAGACAAAATAATCATAGGAAGCTGAGGAAAGAGAATGTGAACTTGCTTTCATGAAAAATGGCATAATAAGTTTAGGATGTAAGGAACACATACAACAAACATGTTCAGCTACAATTTGCAGTCTGGATGAAAGAAAAGAAAATGAAGTTCTGTTTCTGAATGGTGGCATTGATACACTAGAGCAATATAGTTTCTGTTTTTTAGTTTCAGAGAACCTGAAGCTCCTTATTGTCATCTGCTGCTTCTTGCAACTTGAGTGCAGCCTCGAGACGTGTCACAATCTCACTCAGTGATGGTCTTTGAAAAGCAAGGTCGCTCAGACACTTGCTTGTAATGTCAATGAACATCTGCAGGCAGTCTGGCGATATTTTTCCAACAAGGCTTGGGTCTATAAATCTTGAATGGCTACCTTTTCTTTGTGTGGTGAACCAGCAGGCTGCACTCTCCACATCCTTGTCCGTCTGGAGTATCAATTTATTGTTGGCGCATAATACTTCGATTAACAGTAAACCAAATGCATATGCATAGGATTTTTCTGTTGGTGTTATGTAATATAAATCCAGTGAATCCATAAACCCACCATGAAGGTCAAGACTGTGATGAACTTCCTTTCTGCACCAACTAGAGTCGTCTTTCCTTCTAGACCAACCCAAGTCTGAAACTTTAGCAACCCAATTCTCATCCAGCAGAATGTTGGTTGAGTTGAATGTGTGGTGGAGAGTACTCAGCTTCAAGATTTGCTGAAGGTAGTACAAACCTCGTGCAGCATCAATGCAGATTTTAAGCCTTTGCTTCCATGGGAGAGGGTTCATGTCAGGTTTATGGAGATGATCTCGCAGACTCCCATTTGCCATGTAATCGTATACAAAGATCATATGTTGATCAATACTGCAATATCCAATCAAAGAGACAACATTATCAGCATGGCTGGGCAAAGGGAGATGGGAATGATGAAAATGCAACTCTTGATCCAGGCGATCATTGCATACTGTATTGACGGCCCTTCTGATGACTACAATACTTTTGCCACCATGTAAAGATCCCAGGAACACATCAGAACCAATAATAGAACTCTGGTTGAAATTGTCAGTGGCCTTTAGGATTTCATTGACAGAAAAGTGGCGTGGTCCTTCATGTTTTGTTGTGGAAACTTCAACCTGTGATGGCAATGTTTGGGAAGTTTTTGTCTTGGGTGATGGTTTTAGCCAGACGAGGAAAATATCCCACCATCGACCAGACTTTCTTTTGGAATTGATATCCTTTTTCTTCACCATTTCCATGGGAATATCTTTTCCTTTGCCTTTAGATGCTCCTTCAGCTGTGGTCATTGCCATATTCTCTTCTGAGAGAGTTCCAAGTCTATCAACACTCATGATCTCATTTTGCACCTCCTTTTGTTGTAATGCCAACACTAATTCAAGTTTTGTTAGTACATCAGCCATATCTGGTCGTTCATGTGGCTGTTTGCCCAGACATCTTGCTGCAATTTCTGCAAACACCTTCAAACAAGTTTGAGAAACTTGCCCCGCCAGACTATAGTCAACAATATCATCAACATTTCCTTTTCTCATGTAGTCTATGGCCCAAGTGGCTAGATTGTGGTGCTCCTCAACTAGCCTCCTATCCAGTGCTGGCCTTCCGGTGAGCACTTCAAACAGGACTACTCCAAAAGCGTACACGTCTGATTTCGTTGTCAATCTGTGAGTTAAGAAGTATTCAGGATCCAAGTAGCCAAATGTTCCTTTGACATCAGTACTAACATGAGTAAAAGACTCGTTTCCGGGCCCCATTTTGGATAGACCAAAATCTGAAATCTTTGCCACCCAACTCTCGTCCAGCAGAATGTTTGAGCTTTTTACATCACGGTGTATCACCTTATGCTGGGAGGTGTGAAGGTAATGCAATCCCCGTGCAGCACCTATTGAAATCTTGAGTCGTTGTTCCCAAGAGAGAGGGGGATTACCATTCCCCATTCTATCAATTTTGTGGAGATGGTCTGCAACAGTTCCTCGTGGCATGTACTCATAAACCAACACCCTCTCTGTACCTTCATTGCAGAAGCCAATTAGGGAGACAAGGTGTTCATTTCGGACCTTCGATAGCATTTTTATCTCTGTCCAAAACTCATTCTCTCCCTGCCTAGATTCTTCCTTCAAACGCTTAATTGCTACAGTAGTTGCTCCG